AAAAAAAAAAAAAAAAAAAAAAACGTTATATTGAAATGAAATTTATCACCATCAAATTCCAGCACTGACTAGGAGGAGAGAAATTAGAATCCTACTTGATATTATATGTTCAAACTCAACCTACTTTGGGATTTATTGTACCTCAAGAACAAGATCTGATTCCAATTAGCAATTTATTTATTCAGGAAATATTTCATAAATGTCTTACTTCTTCCCAGGTATAATATCCTGGGTTTTGGATTTGGAGCAAAAAAATTACAGTTCCTGGCATACGAAACTAATATTGACTGATTACAAACTGAGTTTTAAGTAATATCCAGTTGATAGTGTTCAAACATGAATAAGATATAGGATATTTCTCTCAAAAGATAATGTTAATTCATAACATGGATTGGACACTGTTGGACACTGCACTCAACATACCTTTCCTCATATATTTACCCATTCGATAAATATTCTTTGAGCATCTACGATGTGTCAGAATGCAGTAAGTTTGGGAAATAACTATAAACAAAACAGACAATATTCCATCTTTATGGAGCTCATAGTCTAGTGGGTGACGACATATATAAAGAGTAAATATAATAAATAAGCAAATTATGTAGTATGTTAGAAGATGAAAAGTATTACATAAAAAAAGCGAAATGGGGTGAAGGGGCCCAAAATGCTGCTGGGCTGTAGTAATTTTAAATACAATTTTTCATGGAGACCTATTGAGAAGGTAACATTTGAGCAAAAAGTTGAAAATTAATAAGTGGTCTTGGGAGCACGCCTGAAATGTGTGATCAATGCCTGAGAGACAAGGGTTGCTAATAAAGAGTGAGAAGACTCCTAGGAGAGGAGGTCAGAGAGAAAATGTGTTGCCAGATTACACAGAGAGTTTTGGGAACTAGAATTAGTCTAGGATTAGATAGGATTTGACTTTTATTCTGAGAGGAATCCAAAAGGTTTCAGTCAGAGGAGAGATATAATTTGAATTTGGTTTTTTTAAAAAAAAAAGCCTCTCTGAGTGCTTTACTGAGTTAGGAGGCTATTAAAATAATGTAGGTAAAAAATAATATAGATTGGAAATTATGGTACCTCAGTCCATAAGAATGAAAACAATGAGGAATGGTAAGATTCTGGATATGTTAAAGGTAGAGTTAGCTAGATTTCATGAGAGACTGAATTTTGGCTGTCAGAAAAAGGGTCGAGAATGACTCCAAGATTTCTTTCCTGAGCAATTTATAAGATTGAGTTTTGCCATTGACTAAGATAGATAGAATATTAGGTGGAACAAGTTCGAGTTAGACTATTTCAATTTTGAACATGTGAAATTTGACATATCTTATAGATTTGACAAGTTTTTGTGTGAAAAAGACAGTTAACAAATCAGAATGGATACAGTCATTTTTTGTTGGAAAGATGGGTTGGCATCTATCTAACACATGGATTGAGAGATGATCTCTTCATTAGAGTAGGAGACCCTGTCTTCATTAATATCAGGGAGAGACAGAATATACAGATGTAGATGCTCAGAAGCTGGTTAGTCTGGTGGTCAAAATCTAGGGAAAGTCTCTTAGGAATATTCAGTCGTGTCACTGAAGAAGGAAACAAGGCCATTGGCTAAGAGCAAAGATGGGAAGGATGTTTTGGCACTGTGACCAGAGTCAAGAATTTGTAACAGAATCTTCAAAGGGAGTAGAAGGTTCAATAGATTGTTAGCATTCTTTACAACTGTCCTATTTCCTGCATCTACATCTTCTCCTTCGTTGTTGATTTTGTTTCTTTCTATATAGTAAGCCATAGGACTTTGCCATTTTTTACGCGCCAAAAATTGTTAAAAATTTCAGCCATTTCGTATAGTTCTGTTAGTAAATACAAATATTCTCAAGTCTCTTTC